GCCTTCCTCACCCACTCAGACGCACTCTCCTGTCCTTCCCAAGTAACCCTCCAAAAGCACTCCTTGCACCCTATTAAAGCCTTCGGTCCGGTGACCTGAAGTTTCTCTCCATCCTGCAGTCCCCATCTCTCCTCACTAACCCCTTATCCAGCCCTCACATCACTTCTGCAAACACCTTCAACTCTTTGACCGTGCCATTACCGACTTCCCATTGCACTTGGCACAACATACAAACCTCGGGCCCCCAGGGCCATGCAGGCCCCAGCCCTGGGCTGATAAGTCTCCCTCCTTGACTCAAACATTATACCTCCCACCCCACGCTTTGAATTCTTCCCTCCACTAATATGAAAGTCATTTCCTCCAAGTCCACTTTTATTTATTTTGTTTCCTGAAGAGGTATTTACTTCTTTCAAGAAACAGTGTAGAATTGTACCCATATCTTCGTACTTATTTGTTGAATGTTTGTCTTTGACTTGAGACTATGCACTCCACAAAGGCAGCAACCATCCTGGTTTGCTCATCTGCTGTACAAGCAATGCCAAGCACTCGCCGGGTCCATAGTAGATAGATGCTCAGTAAATATCTATTGAATTAAAACATCACTCTAGACCAGGGGAGGGGAAACTTCCTCCTGCCAAGGGCCATTTGGATATTTATAACATCACTCGGGGGCCATACCGAATTATCAACTTAAAAATTAGCCTGCTATATCTGGTCCAACATTTAATTAACTCACCCCGAGTGCCCTGGCAGGGCCAGACCACATGATTTTGAAGGCCTTCTATGGATGTTCCCCACCCCTGCTCTAGACCTTGACCCCACAAAGACAGTGGACTGATATGGGTCCTCTGCACTTTAGCAAAAAAGCAGCACTTTGTATTTGTGTAAGGTTTATCCTTTCAAAGCATTTTCCTATCTGTTATCATAATAACTGCATAAGATAGGTTACATAAGATAGGTAAGTGTTATAACTCCCATTTGATAGAAGAAAAGGAGGCACATAGAGAATTGACTAAACTGTTGGAGTAAGGACTAAAGCCAAAATCTCTAACATACCCGACTGTGCATCTTAATTAGTATATGTAAATGTTCTTTTTTTTCTTCTTGTTATTCTTTTTCTTTCTCCTTATTTTTTAAACATTTACAGTCTCTTGATCAAACTTGCAATGGAGAGAAAGGTTAATAATTAAATGCTCATGCTCTACGGACAGACTGTCAAGGTTCCAAACCCAGACCCAATACTTAACCCGCTGTGTAACCTTGAGCAAATTACTGAATTTCCCTGACCTTCAATTTCTTCATACATATTCACTGAAAGCTTCTGTACTATATATATATTGTACAGAAACTCTTAGTGAATGTATATATATATATATATATATATATATATATATATATATATATTAGTGGCCTGGTGCACAAAATTTATGCACAAAATTATATATATATATATTTTATTAAATTGGGGGGGGGATCCTTTTTCAGAACATAATCCCTATATCTGAACTGATAACCAGCTATATGCACTATATTGCCAAACCAGTCATTAAAAAATTGAACTTTCTTACACCTTACACCAGACAATTGTTGCCCTTAAAACCCCTCCTCAGCCCCCATCTTAGGTTCTGCCTTCGCAGTTTACCCAAATTGGGTTCTTTTTAAAAATATATATATTTTATTGATTTTTCACAGAGAGGAAGAGAGAGGGATAGAGAGCCAGAAACATCGATGAGAGAGAATCATGGATCAGCTGCCTCTTGCACACTCCTCACTGGGAATGTACCCGCAACCAAGGTACATGCCCTTAACTGGAATCGAACCCGGGACCTTTTAGTCTGTAGGCCGACGCTCTATCCACTGAGCCAAACCGGTTTCGGCAAAATTAGGTTCTGATTGGTTGGTTTCTATGCCAGTCAGTGTCTCTGGGCTTATCAACAGGCCTGATCAGCAGCCCCAGCAGAGGCCCAAGAAGCTAAGATCAGATCCTGTTTCTCTCTCCAGGCCTCTCTTCAGACCTGATCTGCAGCCCCCTCAGCAGCACTGATTTTTGGTTGGTTGAGCCTTCAGTCATTTTGGATGCTACGGACCCTGAGTTTTTATATATTAGGATATATATATATATGAAGATCTTTCTTTTTATATCTGCATAAGATATACACATACAGTGCTGAACACAGTACATGAGAAGCACTTAATCAAAATTAGTTATTAATTGTGGAAATCTTCTGAGAATAATGTTTATGTTTCATATTCCTCTATAACCAACAATTAGCACAGTGCCTTTCATGGTGATATATTTTTTTTTTAATATGTTTTTACTGATTTCAGAGAAAGAAAGGGAGAGATAGAGATAGAAAGATCAATGATGAGAATCATTGATTGGCTGCCTCCTGCATGTTTCCTACTGATGATCGAGCCCAAAACCTGGTCATGTGCCCTGACTGGGAATTGAATTGTGACCTCCTGGTTCATAGGTCGACACTAAACCACTGAACTACACCGGCTGGGCTTCACAAAAAGTGATATTTAACACTAAACGACCTCTAGCAGCACTGGGATTTCTGTTTTCTTGAACTTATCCTTATCTGTGAATACTGGTGACTTTGAAGATAGGGGGGAAAGAGTAATATATATCCTTGGTGTGACCATTCCCAAGTGCATACCTTTTAAGACCTGATAAATAGGCCCTGGCAGGGCTATGCTCAGTTGGTTGAGCTTCGTCCCATGTACCAAAGGTCAAGGGTTCAATTCCTGGTCAGGACATATGTCCAGATTACAGACTCGATCCCCAGTAGGATGAATACAGGAGGCAGCTCATGGATGTTTCTTTTTCACAACAATGTTTCTCTCTCTCTCTCTCTCTCCCTGTCCCTTCCCCTTTCTCTAAAAAATAATAATGATAAGAATAAAACCTGAAAATTAGGAGCAGACTTTTAGTCACCTGTTCTCTATGAGTTCTTCCATTTTAGAGTCCATTTTCCTGTCCTTTGGAAGAGTATAATTAATATAATGTGCTTTCAACCCCCATTTATCCTGGAGTGGCTTATATAATATAGCCATGGCAGTTACCATGAATTGACTTAATAAAGCATTGAGCTAATAGGTTAATCTCCACACCCATAGGACTGGATAGATAATAATAGAGTAGGAAGCAAAGTAAGCCAGTCAGTTCTTTTTATGACCTTTTCTAAAGAAGTTTATTAGAATGGAAAAGTCCCATGCCATTTGAAAAATCCCTTTATGCAGGATAAAGTGATAATTTAAAATAAACCTACAAGGGAGAAGTAAAGATCATGACCTTTTATTTAAATTGCTTGGTCCTTTTAAAAATACTTTATGCTGTAATATTTTTTTCCTGCAGTTATTAACACAAATATATAGAAATAATGGCCCATAATGACCCTTGTAAAACAAACGAGTGCAAATTTAATGGAGGTTTCCTTGGAAGAAAGAACACAAATGATTAATAGGCTGCAATCTGTTAGAACAGAATAAAATAGTTTTGTTTAACTATGTATGATGATGTCTTTTTCTCTATCTTTGTCATCATTCATTAACATTTATTACATGGTTACCTGAGATTATGAATCTGCAGTAAAAATTGGTTAAAAGTACAGTTAAATCATTCTTCTCTATTCTGTTGCTTTTATAGAATTTACTAAACTACTAACAGAACAGAAGTCTCCATCTTAATGTTCAACAATTCAAAGTAATGAGGTCCAGCCTTCGGGTTTTAGTTTAAAAACTACAAATTAATTAGCTTTAGTGGGTTCTCTTGTACCTACAGTAATTGTTTATTTGTTTTTAACACGTTACCGCCAAGCCTGTTTTGTTTTTCTTTCCCCTTAGCCTGCAATATCGGATTTCACTGTTGGTGGCACCAGTGACTGAGGAGGTTTGGAGGACAGTATAGTCAGTCACCAGTGACTGACATGGCGCTTAACGTGTTAATATATTGTTATTGATTTCAGATAGGAAGGGAGATGGAGAGAGAGAGATAGAAACATAAATGATAAGAGAGAATCATTGATCGGTTGCTTCCTCCAAGCCTCCTGAGCCAGCAACTGGACATGTGCCCTTGACCGGAATTGAACCTGGGACCTTTCAGTCTGCAGGCCAATGCTCTATTCACTGAACCAAACCAGCTAGGGATGTTTATGAGTTTTTAAAATAATTAATTGGCTGATACCTGTTTGGCTCAGTGGATAGAGTGTCGGTCTGTGGACTGAGGGGTCCTGGGTTTGATTCTGGTCAAGGGCATGTACGTTGGTTGCAGACACATCCCCGGCAGGGGGTGTGCAGGAGGCAGCTGGTCGATGATTCTCTCTCATCGATGTTTCTAGCTCTCTATCCCTCTCCCTTTTTCTCTGTGAAAAATCAATAAAATATATTTAAATAAATAAAATAATGAATTGGTTCTTTAGCATTTTCCAAAGATGACCAATGAGATTGTTTAATGTATAATTTTAAGCTTACTATTTACAAATACTTATTGTGTTTTCATTTATTACAGCTGTTCTTCTTATTGATAATGAAATTGGTCAGTGGGAAGGTCTTCTCATTTGCTCCTCATTTGGACATGGCTCTGTTAGTCATTGATAAGGTCTTTGCTTTCTGATAGGATAAGATGGTCCAGGGCTCCTTATATATATATTTCCTATTTCAGAACCTGAATTAGCCGTTTCTTCAAGAAACCTGGTTCTTGACTTGTCCTGGAATATTCCAAGCTTCTTCCTAGCTTATCACAGCGGGACGGGCGCTCTCTATTTCAGAGTCCAAAGGTCTGGCTGGCGAAGCACCTCGGAAGCGCCCAGTTCACACCCTGCTGGGCAAAGGGAAAGCCAGAGGAGCCTTCCATGACTGGAACCACCAGGTGACAGGACAGGAAGCTCTGCTCAGGCGAGCAGCCACCATTACCTACTTAGCAAGCCTGAGGCTCCAACAACAGCTCCTGGAAAAAAAAAAAAAATCCCATGTTCCCTGGGACACAAGCCCCAAGGATGAGCTTGCTCACGCTGCTGGTGTTCCTGGCCCACTGGGGAGTCGCCAGGGCTGGAACGGGGAGGTTCTGGCACATCTCGGACCTGCACCTTGACCCTGACTACAAGGTGTCCACAGACCCCCTCCAGGTATGCCCATCAGCTGGCTTCCAGCCAGTGCACAACGCAGGCCCCTGGGGCGACTACCTCTGCGATGCTCCCTGGGCCCTCATCAACTCCTCCGTCTACGCCATGAAGGAGATCGAACCCGAGCCAGACTTCATCGTCTGGACGGGGGATGACACCCCTCACGTGCCCGACGAGAGGCTGGGAGAGGCGGCGGTGCTGGGCATGGTGGAACGCCTGACCCAGCTCATCAGAGAGGTCTTTCCAGACACCAAAGTATACGCTGCTTTGGGAAATCACGACTTTCACCCCAAAAACCAGTTCCCCGCGGGGAGCAACGCTATCTACGATCAGATAGCGGAACTGTGGAGACCCTGGCTCAACAACGAATCCATCGCTCGCTTCAAAGAAGGCGCGTTCTATTCTGAGAAGCTGCCGGGGACCGCGGGGCGCATCGTGGTCCTCAACACCAACCTGTACTACGCCAGCAACGAGCAGACGGCCGGCCTGGCCGACCCTGCCCAGCAGTTCCAGTGGCTGGAAGACGAGCTGAGCCACGCGTCCAGCGCTGGGGAGATGGTGTACATCCTCGGCCACGTGCCCCCGGGGTTCTTCGAGAAGAAAATGCACAAGATGTGGTTCCGGGAGGGATTCAATGAGAGGTACCTGCAGGTGGTCCAGAAGCATCACCGCGTCATCGCGGGGCAGTTCTTCGGGCACCACCACCTGGACAGCTTTCGGATGTTCTACGACGATACAGGCGCCCCCATCAGCGTCCTGTTCCTCACCCCGGGGGTCAGCCCGTGGAAAACCACGTTACCCGGCGTGGTGAACGGGGCCAACAACCCGGGCATCCGGCTGTTCGAATACGACCGGGCCACGCTGAGCCTGCGGGACGCGATGACTTATTTCCTGAACCTGAGCCAGGCGAACGCTGCTCAGGGGACGGCGCGCTGGGAGCTGGAGTACCAGCTGACCCGGGCCTACGCGGTGCCCGATGCGGGCGCCCGCTCCATGCACCAAGCGCTGGGCCGCATCGCGGGCGACCCGGGAGCGCTGCAGCGTTACTACGTGTACAACTCGGTCAGCTACGACACGCGGGCCTGCGACCAGGGGTGCCGCGCCGAGCACGTGTGTGCCATGCGCGCCGTGGCCTCGGACGCCTACGCCGCCTGCCTGCGCGCCCCCGCCGCCGCGCCTGCGCCCGGGCTCCGGCTCCCGCTGCTGCTAGCGGTGCAGCTCGGCCTGAGCGCATGGCTCGCCTGGTGACCTGGGTGCCGCATGGTGACCGGGGTGCCGCATGGTGACCGGGGTGCCGCTTGCTATTGGATCGCTGGGTTTGCCTTCCTCAAGCTGGGTCCATTGGGGCGGGCCATCACCCACTGAGGACTGGACTTTTTCATTTTCCCGGCGTTCGCAGGTGAACGGGGATGCGGCAGCCAGATCGGGAAAGAAGCTCAGAGATCCTCCTACCACAAGCCCAGTTCTTCCAAGTTTTACGTTTTATATGTATTTAAAAAGCTCACGATGGATCTTGGTAGGTGCATTATCCTTTCCATCTGTAAATAGTGTTTAAAGCAACTTCCTTTTTTTTTGCTGGAGCCCCTGGGGCACAGCCTAATGGGGTGGGCGCAAGGACCAATGCCTCAAATTCCTTCATAATCATGTTCATTGTTCCTGCACCCACCTAAGTATGTGTCCGTCATTTTACTTTTTACCCAATCCCAGGGGTTTCCCACCGCTTGGCTTTATCCCGACTCCTTAATCGGTCACCAATGAATGTCATGTAACCCACTTATGTCCCTCCTTTGATTGCAGTGTATAAATACAAATGTAACCTGCCATTCTTCGGAGCATTATCTCAGTTCATTGAGGTTCTGCTTCCCGGCATATGTCGACAGTTTGGCTCAAATAAACTCACAAAAATTAAAAAGAAAAGAAAAAAGAAACCTGGTTCTTTTTAGTAGTAGAAAGTTGTATTTAGAAACTGTAATCTGATTCTTAAAGATGTTCATAAGTATTGAGTTAGCCATTATTTTGTGGGCTTCTTCAGAAAGCTACTTTTACCAAAAATTCTAATTGGTGTATTTAATGTATATTGTATCTCGTTATACATTACCTCTCTTTCTTTTTTAAAAATATATTTTATTGATTTTTTTTTCAGAGAGGAAGGGAGAGGGACAGAGAGTTAGGATCAGCTGCCTCCTGTACCCCCCTCCCTCCCTGGAGATGTGCCTGCAACCAAGGTACATGCCTTTAACCGGAATCGAACCCAGGACCTTTCAGTCCACAGACTAACACTATCCACTGAGCCAAACGGTCAGGGTTCTTTCTTTAAAATATATTTTATTGATTTTTTACAGAGAAGGAGAGGGATAGAGAGTTAGAAACATTGATGAGAGAGAAACATCAATCAGCTGCTTCCTGCACACCTACCACCGAGGATGAGCCTGCAACCCAGGTATATGCCCTTGACCGGAATCGAACCTGGGACCTTTCAGTCTGCAGGACGATACTCTATCCACTGAGCCAAACCGATTACAGCTCACTTTATTTATTTTATTATTTTTTTGTTAATCCTCGCCCAAGTATACTTTTCCATTGATTTTTAGAGAGTGGAAAGGAAGAGAGAGAGAGAGAGAGAGAGAGAGAGAGAGAGAGAGAACACATCCATGTGTGAAAGAGACATATCAATTGGTTGCCTCTCACATGTGCCCCAACCAGGGCTGGGGATCTAGTCTGTAACCAAGGTGTGTGCCCCTGACTGGAATCAAACCCGGAACCCTTCAAGTCCATGGGCTGATGCTCTCCACCCAGCCAAACCGGCGAGGGCTATTACCTCACTTAAGAATGTCTTGTTTTCCCCAGGTTCTTTGTGACTCCTTTTATGGACTTAAATACTCATCTTCCTACCTGGTTTTTAATAAAGTACCCTTTTCTCCTCTGAATAAAATACTGTCATTGTTGGACATTAGATTTTGTGCATGTATGACTTCTTTAAGGAGCCTATATGGCATAATTCTTAAAGGGGCAGTCTTTGGAATCAGATTGCCTGGATTTTAATCCATAATGTGGGACATTAGCATGATGCATCCTACCAGGCAAGCTATCCTAGACAAGTTCATGGTGCAGAAAGGCTCGGAAATCAGATAAAGACGCTCAAGTCACACGGCTTGTTGAATCACCTTATATAGCGAGAAGCAAGTGGGTAAGAGATGGGGTAGGCTGAAACATTTAGGAATAGGCCCAAGCTGGGTGGAGGACCACACTACCTGAACTTCCTGTTATGCAACGTTTGGCTCTTTCTGCCACATCAGTCCCTGCTGATGGTGTGATTACAGAGACCAAGCAGGAAAGCGCCTGAAAAGCAAGAACAGGTACTGCTTGCCAAAAGCGGTAGCTTGCCAATTAGCCTGCTGAGCAGCTGTGAATTGTATCTGCATCTCTTGGAATGAGCACTCATGGAGCCAGACTGGTTCTGAAAGGGGTGTCACCAATGTGTGCCTAATTTTGGAGGTGATATTAAGTTATGCTAAGCCCTGGCTGGTGTGGCTCAGTTGGTGGAGTGTCGTCCTATACACCAAAAGGTCGCCAGTTCCATTCCCAGACAGTGTACATGCTCAGGTTTGAGGCTCGATCCCCAGTAGGGGATATTCAGGAGGCAGCTGATTGATGTTTCTCTCCCTTCCTCTCTAAAATCAATAAAAACATTTTTTTAAAAAAGATGTTAAAGATATTGTGGGGAAATTTTTGAGATCTATGCATGTGAAACAAAGCAGAACTACATGAGTATATTATTTGAGCACTTGGGGTTAGTAGAGCAGTTGCCACTCGTGATTGAGAAGGTGGTGTACAGAGTGTGCTCTTCGGAACTGGGCTCCTTGGGATTTTCCCAATGCTCCATGGGGCTGAGGAGGTCTGGGGGAAGATAGGGAGAGGAGGTAGGGATACAGGGTTGGGAAGACACCAGCATGTTCACCACTACAATGACTTAATGGTCTTATGGACAAATACGTATTGAAAATTAGGGTTGAACCAGCTTTACTACATTCTTTTTTTTTTTTTTTTTTTTTTTTTAAATATATTTTGTTGCCAAAACCGGTTTGGCTCAGTGGATAGAGCGTCAGCCTGCGGACCGAAAGGTCCCAGGTTCGATTCCGGTCAAGGGCATGTACCTTGGTTGCGGGCACATCCCCAGTGGGAGGTGTGCAAGAGGCAGCTGATCGATGACTCTCTCTCATCGATGTTTCTGACTCTCTATCCCTCCCTCTTCCTCTCTGTGAAAAATCAATAATATATATATATACATTTTAAAATTTATGAGTTTGAGATCAGAATAGAAATGATCTCAGTGAGAAGGAGGGTGGTGATTGAAAGGGAACAGAAGGAAGCTTTGGAATAGTGCTAATGTACCATTCCTGGATCTGGGTGCTGATGACATAGTTGTGTTTAGTTCAGGAAAATTCACTGGGCTCTAAGTTAGGGTACTTGCACATTCCCATATGCACAATGCACTTAGAAATACTGTTTTCAAAGACACACAGCAACAAGAATACTCATATGTACAGTCTCTTTGGAAAACTGTTTGGCAGTATCTACTAATGCTAAAAAAATGTATACGTGTGCGTATATAATTTTATGTATATTAGCCAGCAATTTCATTCCTAGGTATAGAAGTGTGAATACATGGTTTAAAAATGTTCACGACAACAACAAAAGAGAACGTTCATAACAGCAGTATTCATAGAACCAAAATCTAGAAACTGCCCAAATATCTATCACTGATTGGAGAAAAAAATTGTGGCATAAGTATATGATGAAATAAACAAACTACAGCTGCGTGCCAAAACATAGATGAACTTTATAACTTAAAGTTGGAAACCCAGATATCAAAACATATGATTTCATGTACATAAAGTGCAAAACCAGGCAAAACGAATCTATGATGTCAGAAGGGAAGACATGAGTAGTAACCTTGGGGATGGTTTGTGACTGGGTACCAGCGACAAGAATGCTTCTGGGGTTGTGATGCGAACTGTATCATATAATGTCTCTGAGCATGACACAGGAGTGAGAACTTTGCGGAAATTCATCATGCCGAACACTAATGGCCCGGGCCTTGCACTTTTCTGTACATATATTATACTTGAATCAAAATTTGCTTTACAAATGCTTTCAGGTCTGAAAGCCCATCTGATTTAAACATTCCCTAAGTGCGATCTTGTCTCTGTCGGTCACGATTTTTCGTTTTTCTTTTCAGGGTTATCAGAAAAATCACAGTACTATCAGAAAGGGAAGGTCTTTGTTGCTCCTTGCAGCAAGCACTGTGAACATAATACGCACGTGTGCTCTCCAACAGTCTAGTGACACAGCATTACGCATCATCTGTGTACAACAGCTGACGAGTTTGGGAAGCAGAATAAAATGCAACGTTGCAGTGGCATATGGCTTTTACCCCAGTTAGGTAAATCATTAACCCGGGCACTCTGTGAGGCAGGGCATTTGACTAACCTTGTGAACCACTCCAAGGAGCAAAAGTAGGAGCTGTGGCTGCCCTCCTCCTGAGGGAACCCGGGAAGAGACATAATTTGATGAGGAGTTCCAAGTCCAGCTGTTGGTTATTTCGTGGAGCATGTGACTGGGCACCAGGGACCAGATTCCTAAGGGGAAAAGCACCTTCAAGAAAAGATTTAAATGGCTGTAAAGAAAATCCCAACCAAAATACCACCTACCCCCAACCCTAACTAACCCATGGGAAACTTTTAGGGGAGCTGAATGGCCTGTTGGTTTACTCACTACCAAATGGTCAAAAACGAGTTAAGAACATTTTAAATGTTTTGCCTTTTTCCAAAACGGAACTTTCCCCTCCCTTGACTCACAGCCGCGCCTGCGATTGTCAGCAGCTGCAACAAATAAAATGAATCACTTAGTGATGTGGGCCCACTCAGCCAGAAGGGGGCGAGCAAAAAGAGTTAGGGAAGGTTTCCAGGAAATCACAGCCAGGTACTTCCTGTTTGTAGTGTCCATCCCATTTGTGGCTGCTAGATTGCACCACCGGAGGTGAGCCACGGGGAAACTGCCTAAAAAAATGTAGAGCAGCAAAATAAACAAACACACGTTTAGCAGCTCTCTGCCGTTTCATACATTAAGCACAAGCTCTGCATTCTTCCAGGTTAGCTCAAGATGACTGCTTCCCTGAAAGGGGGTGTATTTTGGTGATTTTGGCACAGTTTGAAATCAGGCAAAGTACATTTCATGTATCATCTGGG